TATACGGAGTATTGTTGGGTATCGTTGTTTCTCAAAACTTCGATTATAAAACCACCTTTTGGCTTTTAACAAAAAAAAATTCCTAGCAAAATTTTGGTATAAACTAACCCTCGCCCCAATCCCAAAACCCACTCCTTATAGATATTATAATAAAAAATCCAAAAAGAAATTTCAGAGTACAAAAACGTGTCATTATTTCCTTATGGCAAAAAGTTTTTAATACGATGCGATGCCAAAAAAATTTAATAAAATTGGGTATCTTCAAAAATTGCTATAAATGACAATCAGAAAATTGGAATTTGAGATCAAATGATCAAGAGATTTGACAACTTTACGTTAATTCAAATCGTTAAAAAATATATTTAAAGGATAAAAGATTCTTAATCAAGAATAGAATTAAAATACTACCATCAGTTGATTTTTATTAAATCTTACCACTCTTTGTATTACAAACAGTCAAAATCCATCAACCACGTGATCTTTACAGAAAATTACGTAACATTAAACGCTTTTGAGTGACGCCGAGAGAAAATCTTAATCATGCTTTTTGTTTTAATAAATAAAAATATTTTAAAAATCAAGTATATAATTGGGATTTTTAATATTATTCGAATCGTCTTAATGATACGATTCGAATTATTTTTAGCATGACTTACCGATACATGGCACGGCACTTGGCAGACTCATTTGCCAAATGATGTATTCTTCAAATGTGGTAATTCCAAATATAATTAGACCAAATTTAGAGATAGGCGAATTTTTGACCGGACAATCGAATTGAAAATTTGACTAGCCGAAGAGGACATTTTAAGAGTGCCTAGTGAAAAGGAAATAAAAGAATCAAAGCGATTAGAAGCCTCGAGAACGAGTTCAGGAAAAGAAAATTCGGGAGAGTCACGTCAATCTTATCAAACTTTGACGTTTCCCGGAAATACAGAAATTAATACCAATCTTAAGGATATGCAATAAATCAATTAATTACGTATATGTATAATTAAAAATTTACAGTATTTTAAACAACACATGTTGCATTGTATTTTTAGGAATGTAATTTAAAATATGACAACATTAATGCATCATTAATTCATGCATAATAGATAATATAATTTGATAGTTACACGTACATATGTACACAAAAAAAAAAAAGAAAAAAAAATTATATACGTATCATATTATGTAATGAAATCAATGGATTTATATATAATA